TGTGGGCCTGCACAGAGCAGGAGGGGGAAGGGTTTGTAGCCATCCCATGGTGGAACTGCAGGAACAACCCCCTGGCTGTGGCTGCTGTGGCAGCTGCATTTGCACAACAACCCTGTTTGGAACAAACCATCAGGTTTTTGCAGCTGCCTCACGTGACAGGAGGGGGTTTGAGAAAGCTGCTGAGGGGGGAATGAGGCTGAACCAGCAGGAACCACCAAGGGATCTCTTTGCCTGGGGCTGTTCCCAGCAGGATGGAGCTGCTGCTGCTGTTTAGTCCTCCTGGGTCACTGCCACGGGCTGCTTGTGCCAGATTTAATGTGTTTTTGTATTTAAAGTGTTTAGACTCTTGCTAGATTTGATGTATTTGAGCCGTGATAAAGTTTTGTGTCTTAACTTTGGAACGTCTGAGCACAGCTTGGTGTTTGCTGTTCCCAGGGAAGATCCCCAAGCTGTTCACAGAGGTGGAAGTGAGTTCCCAGCGAGATCCATATCCCACTGAAAGCCCCGAGTCTCCTGGGAGGAGCTCCCTGCAGGGGGCTGGAAGGAATCCTGCCACCACGAAGCCACCCAAGAACACCAGGGCTGGTGAGTGGCTTTTTTCATCCCACTGGGCAAGAAACAGGCTCTGGAACTGTGAACACCCTGCTGGGGGCTGTTTAGGGGCAGCATTTTTTGGGCTCTGCGATTCAATAAACTCCAGGTGTCCAAGTGGAACTTGCTGGAGTTGATATCAGCAATTTTTGGGCACTGAAAACTCTGCTTTTCCTTCAAAGGAAGTCAGAATTCTTGCTTCCCTGAGCCAGCCTGTGGAAAAACACTTTAAATCCTGGGAGCTGCCTCCTGTTCTTGCCGTGTGGTACCTGGGGATTGCAGCTTTTTCTCTGGAAAAGGTGCACAGAGGCTGCTGAGGCTGTTCTGTAAAACCAGCCTTGAGGAGGTGGTGGCCACACATCCTTTAAATGTTTGAATCCATCCTTCCAAAGGCTTCCCAGCTCTTGTGGCTCTCTCCATCTCTCCATTTGGGTGGCCTCCCATCAGCAGGGGGAAGTTTTGCTGCCTCAGGAGCTGCAGGATCCTGGTTTGGGTTGGTTTTTAAGCTCCTCTGGGAGGTGCCGAGGGCAGGTGAGGGTTTAGATCCCGTCTCCGCTCGCTTTCAGAGGAGCAGGACGGGGAGGAGCTGGAGAGGAGGAAGAGGAGGAGGAAGGCAACCAAGAGGAAAAGGGAAGGGAAGAGCCAGGAGGAGGAGGAGGGGTCCCTGTCCTGTGACATCAAGCTGGACGACACCTTGGACCGAACCTTGGAGGACGGAGCCAAACAGCACAACCTGACCGTGGTCAACGTGAGGAACATCCTGCACGTGAGTCCGGGGGGGTTCCAGGGGCTGGGGAGAATCATGGAATCACAGAACCAGCTGGGTGGGAAGGGACCTCTGAGATCATCCAGTCCAACCCTTGATCCACTGCCACCACAGTTCCCAGCCCATGGCACTGGTGCCACATCCAGTCTGTGCTTAAACACCTCCTGGGATGAAGAATCCACCCCCTCCCTGGGCAGCCCATTCCAATGGCTGAGCACCCTCTCTGGAAAGAAATTCTTTGTAATGTCCAACCTAAACCTCCCCTGGCACAGCTGAAGACCCTGAGCCCTCTTGTCTTGCTGAGAGTTGCCTGGGAAAAGAGACCAACCCCTGCCTGGCTCCCCCCTCCTGTCAGGGAGTTGTGCAGAGTGGGGAGGTCTCCCCTGAGCCTCCTCCTCTCCAGGCTGAGCCCCTCCAGCTCCCTCAGCCTCTCCTCATGGGAATTGTGCTCCAGACCCTTCCCTGGCCCTGCTGCAGCCCCTCCATGTCCTTCCTGAGCTGAGGGCCCAGACTGGACACAGCACTTGAAGTGAGGCCTCACCAGGGCAGGAATCACTTCCCTGGACTTTTTGGCCACCCTGATCCTGATCCAGGCCAGGAGGCTCCAGCCCAAACCTGTGGGTGCTGCTGGGGGCACTGGGATTCCTGCCCAGGGATGTCTTGGCCACCCATGTCCTGTTGGATCCATAAAGGATCCCGAGGTGTCCGTGTCACCCGGGCCCTGCTTTGGTGGGATCTGTTCATCCCAATTCCCTTCATTTCCAGTGGCACACGGGGCTCTCTTGCTTTTCCTGAGCAGCAGGAATAACTGAGCTAAAACCCATCCTCTGGGGGAGCAGGTGTAGGCTGGGAGCTGCTGTTTCATCCCAAAATCCCAATGAAATCCCAGTGGTGCCAACAGAACTGCATCACCCTTGGTTCATGCCCAGGCTTTGAGTCCATCCCACAACCCCCAACTGGAAAGGAGCTGCCAGAATTCCTCTGCTGGCAGAGCTCTGGAATGAGTCTCTTGACTCTGCCCCTCTTGGTGTGGATTCCAGCTCATCCCAAAGCTGTGGGAATTATTTTCCCACAGAAATGGTCCCTTTTTTTTGGTTTTTTCCCTCCCCCTGCAGTTGGTGTCACTCCAGCCCAGGGGATCTCAGATATTTCCCCTTTGGCAAACAACTGCCAGGATGATTCTTTCAGGCAGATTCTGTGCCATAAATTAGTTGCCATAAATTAATTGCCATAAATTAATTGCCATAAATTAATTGCCATAAATTAATTGCCTTCCTCTGTAGGTGCAGCACAACTTTTAAAGGGTTCCCATATTATAAATATAAATAACATAGTTTATTATTCCATACTTTCTACAGAGAATCAGCCCCTTGTTTTGGGAGCCTGTGAGGGCTTAAAGATTGGAGTTTAATTAAGATTTAAGTTCTGTGCTGCACCTCCCAGCTCATTTTGCTGACTGTGTGACAGGACTGATGACAGGATTCCAGGGAAGCCTCTGTGGGCTTTTGTTTTGACTGCTTTGCCTTCTCTCTGCTGGGAATTTATTCTGTGGAGCTTTCACAGGGAATGCAGTGTTTTTATCACTGATTTTTATTGTCTGATCCCTGAACAGCTTTTTATTTGCAGTGTAATTACAGAGCATGTTGTACACTGAATATTTTCCGGGTGGTTTGTTTTAAGGTTTGTTGTATTTATTGTATTTTCTGTGTCTTTTTAACAAACAGAATGTAAAGGACACTTTTTTTTGTGTTTCCCACTGCAGGAAGTGATCACAAATGAGCACGTGGTGGCCATGATGAAAGCAGCCATCAGTGAGACAGAGGATATTCCTCTGTTTGTGAGTAAAAAACCTTGTTTAATTTGGTTTTTTTTTCAGTTGTTCCAAATGCCTGATGCCCTCACTGGTCTGTCTCTTCAGGGGTGTGGAGATTATATATTATATATAATAAAATAATAATATTTAATTATAATATTTATTATAATAATTAGGTTTCATTGGCAGATTTATCACCTGGATGAAGGGAAATGTGTCAGTGTCTGAGTGTCAGTTATAAACAGAATTATGGGGAGTTATTTGTGGTGAATTTAAAAGTGGTGAATTTAAAAAGGAGGTGAATTTAAAGGAGTGAATTTAAAGGGGGTGAATTTAAAGGGGATGAATTTAAGGGGGGTGATTTTAAAGGTGGTGAATTTAAGGGGGGTGGATTTAAAGGGGGTGAATTTAAAAAGGGGGTGAATTTAAAAAGGGAGTGAATTTAAAAAGGGGGTGAATTTAAAAAGGGGGTGAATTTAAAAAGGGGGTGAATTTAAAAAGGGGGTGAATTTAAAAAGGGGGTGAATTTAAAGGGGTGAATTTAAAAAGATGGTGAATTTAAGGGTGATGGATTTAAAGGGGGTGAATTAAAAAGGGGGTGAATTAAAAAGGGGGTGAATTTAAAGGGGGTGAATTTAAAAAGGGAGTGAATTTAAAGGGGGTGAATTTAAAAGGTGGTGAATTTAAAGGGGGTGAATTTAAGGGGGATGAATTTAAAGGGGATGAATTTAAGAGGGGTGAATTTAAAGGGGGTAAATTTAAGAGGGGTTGAATTTAAAGGGGGATGAATTTAAAGGGGGTGAATTTAAAAAGGTGGTGAATTTAAAAAGGTGGTGAATTTAAAAAGGTGGTGAATTTAAAGAGGGTGAATTTAAGGGGGGTAAATTTAAGGGGGGTGAATTTAAGAGGGGTGAATTTTTAAAAAGATGATGAATTTAAAAAGGTGGTGAATTTAAAAAGGTGGTGAATTTAAGGGGGGTGAATTTAAGGGGGGTGAATTTAAGGTGGTGAATTTAAAGGAGGTGAATTTAAAAAGGTGATGAATTTAAAAAGGTGATGAATTTAAGGGTGGTGAATTTAAGGGGGTGAATTTAAAGGAAGAAGAAAATTTCACAGTAAAGAGTTGCTGGGGAAGAGTCTGCAGTGAAGGCAAATGGCTGAATTTGGTGGCTCTTGTCTTGTTTTAAACCCTCAGGAGCCCAAAATGACTCGTTCCAAACTGAAGGAGGTTGTGGAGAAAGGGGTGGTGAGTCTGAAATCTGCTTTTGCTGTTGCACCCTCCCCTTTCCCGGGGTGGGGAGCAGGAACAGGGAGCAGCTGGAGCTCTGTCAGGGGGGATTTAGGGGATTATTAGGAAAATCCTTCCCCCAGGGGGTGGTTGGGCACTGACCAGGCTCCAGGAGGGTTTGGACAACACTCCCAGGGACAGGATTTTGGGGTGTCCTGGGCAGGGGCTGGGTTTGGATGATCCCTGTGGGTCCCTCCCAGCTCAGGGTGTTCTGTGGCTGGTTTGGGTTTTGGGACCTCCTGAAAGGAGTTTAAAAGCTCTCACAGGGTTGAGTCTTGCAGTGAAAAAAACCAGTTAAAAGGGTGTAAAAGAGAATTGGTTGGAGCTGAGCAGCACAGGACCAGGTCAGGGCTGGGCAGTGAATCCCTTTGTCCCGAGGCGGCAGCCGGGAGATCCCAGGAGGGTTTTGGAGCCTTGGGTTGAGCTCTGGTCTTGCCCTTTGTCCCAAGGCTGCAGCCTGGAGATTCCAGGAGGGGTTTGGAGCCTTTGGTTGAGCTCTGGTCTTGCCCTTTGTCCTGAGGCTGCAGCCTGGAGATCCCAGGAGGGGTTTTGGAGCCTTTGGTTGAGCTCTGGTCTTGCCCTTTGTCCCAAGGCTGCAGC